AAGTTGTTCGCGCTGACAAGCCCCACGTAGGAGTTGCCGTCTTTGGAAATGCCAGCGATAGGCCCTCTGACATTTCATGAACTGCACAGTTAGTTGCAAGAATCACGTCAGCACAAGTGAAACCTTTCGAGAAGAATGAGTCATATTCTATTACCCTACGGTCTCCGGGTTTAGTCTGAAACTCCACAGCAGAAAGTATTGGTTCATTTTTATTTCAACTCTCTCAACAGGTCTCAAATATCATCCTACTCCCCACAAACCTGAAGACATTTCAAAAGATGCACCTTTTAATAATAAGAGTCTAATTATTCCCAAGTGATTTACTATAAAACTACTCAATTTACTTGTCAAATTGTTTCTTTAATCTGGCACAATTTGTAAAAAAAATACATATTAATATATATTTTCGCTAATTAAAATAAACTCTGAGCAAAATATCACGACGTAAATCTACTTACTACCTTTCACCGACAGTAAATTTTACTATGGAGAAATTCATTTACAGGTAGGGCAGAATTGTGACTTTGGGTTCTACAAAATCGATGTACGTAACCAAACAGAACAGGAGCGCGAACTTTAAATTGTCACATTGCAATAAAACTACAACGAAGCCTCGATGTCGCACTTGGACAACGAGAGGAAGGCAAAGAATGACGAAACAACCAGCACCATTACTGTGTTGCAAAGACTGTCGTATTTCCCCAACCGCAATACGGTCGTTATCACAGCAGCGGCGGCACTTAAAGTCTCGTGATTTAGGAACAAAGACACCCGATATGCACTTTCCTTGTATGCATCGAATAGCGGTGCAGAATAAGTTATCGACTCTTTCGCCGTTACATTAGCGAATGGCTATAAATCATTCAAAAAGCAACTTTGCTTTCATGCCCAGTTAACGTGCAAACGGTCGCGAGTAAACTGTGAAGTAAGAAATTACGAGCCAGTGGTAATTGTCAACTCAAAAGACCAAACCAGGAAAGCTATAAACAGATGTCCGAAACGAAATAGCATCAATTAAACCACGCCTTTATATCATTCTAATTTTAGTCTATTGGAGTTCATTTAATCACTGCACCACATTCGAAGATAGCCAACTCTTGTACGAGTACGGCAGTGAATCACAGAAATTCTGTAACTAAAAACGCACAAAAAAGAAACGGGGCGGGATGTGAGGTCGCTAGAAAACCTGCAAGACGTCTTTAGACCCGCGGGTCTGTAGAACATCTCCAAAAAAACTCCAGAATCCCCCGGTGCAGTTCGTGAATCACCTCTGTCCATTCACGTCTTCCCGCAGAAATTCATTCCCTCGCTCTGATCAGACCTCTATTCTTTTCTACGAGCACTCCGCCCTTTTACCCGCCGCCACTGCTACATCATCGCAATTCTCTCCTTCCGCCATCTCCGGGACGAGACGCCCGACAAAAAAAAAGACGAAGAAAGGGTGAAGAACCGCTCGGCCAGCAACCCGCACGCCAATCGTCCTCCGGAGGTTACGAGGTGCTCTCCCCTTCCCTCCCCTCTCTTCCCCTCACCCCCTCCACTTCCCCCCTCGGCGCGACGCCGCGCCCTCTATAGCCGGCGGCGCGATGAGGTGCCACGTCCGACGCCGTTGCCGACGAAGCTGTCCGTCGCGGGCGGGCAAAAATCGTCCTAGCTACTCGCACCCAATCCATTCGAACCCTCTCGACCGCCACTTCCACGGCGAATTCCTGCTTCTCGTCACGTCTGGTTTGTAAGAAAAAAGAGAAAGGACCATACACAGTGCCGCACCCAAGAGAGAGGAGGCTCACAGATACTACACATATATTTCTAAAGAAAGATAATATTCCATAGTAACGATAGACATTCGGTATCTTAATGGAATACGTTGTAAATAACTATAAATCAACAAATAAATTGTGAAATTCGGCATTCTTGAATAATTGTTCACAAGAAACCATCTAGTCGGCTGGATACTGCTCATTAATCAACCTTCTCTCGTCATCAAAATCTAGTAAACATACGTACACAGGCGGATTATGAATAAATGACAACTTTTATCATTTTCTCCACACTTTTTTTGCATTGTTTTTTACAATAATTTCATAAATCTCAGAGTAACTCAGGTAAACCAAAAAAAAAAAAAAAAAAAAAAAAAAAAAAAAAAAAAAAAAAAAAAAAAAAAGAATTTGGATGTAAATATTACAAATGAAAGAATTACAACTGTCGATAAACTGTTGCAGTTTATTTCAAATAGTTAAGTTCACTATTTACTCACATTCATTTTGTACCATAATAACCCTTGAAAAATATCATGAAAACATAAAAGTGTTTAGTTCTAAGGAGTTCGGAAGTTTTATCACACCTACGATAAACAGATTTAATTAGATGAAAAGAATAAAATATTTTTTTGCGAAATTAAGCATTCCTTTTTTGACTTTAATTTTATTTAGGGAAAAATTAACTGACCTTCAAACCAACTTTAAAAAATCATCAAGAAAGTGAGTCTTTGAACTTATTCTCATTGAGAGCGTAGGCTTCCGCGGCCGGAGTCAGTATTTACTTGGCTGTCTGGGTGACGCTGCGATCATGGTGAAGGTGCCAACGTTTCGGTCGCCATTCTGCAACCTTCCTCAGGGCATTACGCAGGCCGCAGAATGGCGACCGAAACGTCGGCACCTTGGCAATGGACGCGGCGTCACCCGGACAGCCAAGTAAATATTATTCTAATTGAATAATTTAAATTTTTTTCTCTCAAAGCACTGATATTTGTCAAATATCGACACGGCTATCGCATCTGTATCCTCGATCCGTCACGGCCAATGCCGCCTGCTCCGACCTCCTCGGCCCCTCGCTCGAGCCCTGGCGGCCTCGTCCCGAAAAATCTACGCGACGGCAGCGCGCGCTTTCATCCGGTCCGGGG